GGAGAGGGGGGAGGGTCAGAGGGAGAAGCAGACTCCCCGCCGAGCAGGGAGCCCGATGCGGGACTCGATCCTGGGACTCCAGGATCATGACCTGACCCGAAGGCAGTCGCTTAACCAACTGAGCCACCCATACTTCTGTAATCTTTCTAAGATATTAACTTATCAGGTTGTTTCCTGAGATTTGTGTGGGAATGACTTAATTAACACAGAAAAAAAAAAACTGAAGAGACTACAAAAAAAAAATCTATCGATACTGACAACTGGTTTCACTGCTTGATCACTTCAATAGTTTGGACTGTGCAACTGGCTCTGGAGAACAAAGGGAAGGAAAGGCACACACAGAAACAAATGGGAGAACTGGAATTCTCCCAGAGGAAAATGCGTATTTGGAAGCCGACTCTTTTCTTTGCACTCAGATAGCAGCAACTGATTATAAAGTCTTAACTGCATGAATAACCCAGGGAGGACCACAGCACAGCAGGCAGAACAGAAATGAGAAGGCAGACACTGAAAGAATGGGAATCACAGGTTCACATTCTACTTAAAGTGACTGGAAGTTCCAGGAAAGCAGGCAAACAAAGAACCAGAGATTATAAACAAACCAACCAAAACCACCCATAACCTATTCACTCCTGAAATCTCAGCTTTGGGGGAAGAATTGTCTCCCTGTGATTACACTGGGGACTGATAATAAAGTTTCTAAACGGCTGGCCTTAAAATATTTCAAGAAGTGGGCATAAGTCAGAGGCAGTTCCTTCCCACTGCAGTGTATTTCTAACATTGTTCAAAATAGCTGGCAACATGTCTCTGTTTTCCTGACAGAAGGCACTTACTGCTTGCTTGGCAAGAAAGCCAACTCAGAGACCTTAACTGCAGGGAAGCCAATCAAAATCCCTATTGCAACCACACAAGCACAAACCTGTGACTCAGGTATTCCCCAGAAGCAAAGCTTTTTAAAAGTCATTTCCCCCAAAAGCTTTTGGTCAAGATGTACACAATTAATTCTGGGAAGGAAAGAAGATGATGGGACCTAATGGTTAAAGTCAGCAAGTAGGAAGCCATAGTTACTTAAGTCCTTTGTGCACTTTCTTGAATGTAAAGTGGGAAAATATCTACCCCTACTTCTCAGCAATGTGGTTAAGCTATAGAAGATAACAAATGTGACATTTCACAAACACACACAAAAAAACCCAGCAATAAAAATGCAAGGTTGTAAAGATGATAAATATTGTACAGTATTAACAACATAGATTCTGGAGATGGCTCTGTCACTAGCAGGTTATATGACCTTAGGCAAGTTACTTGATATTTCCATTCTTCAGTTTCCTCATCTATAAAACAGAGATGTGGATGATGATGACAATAATGCCAAGCTCATAGAGTTTTGTGAGGATTAAATGAGGTCACGTGTGAAGGGCATAGAATGGTACCTAGCAAACAGTAAAGGCTGTATGTATAAGCTATTATTACTAACAGCATTTATGTCTAAAATGTCCTAAGCATAAAACTTTACATGCTTTATATGCCTTTAAAGGGAAGGGTACTGCCAATAGGTAGCTAAATATACACAGTGACAAGGCTGGACCTCTAATCTACTAACCATTCAATTATCTAAAGGCTGACAATATGAGCCAAAGAAGAGAAAAAAGGAAAAAAAAAAAAAAAAGGTGGGGGAGTATCCATGCCTGGCCAAGAAATTGTGCTGAAATTCGTTTTCCAAATAGAGGAAGAGTAATCTGTCCTAATGGGCAACCCTATGAAGTGTTGAAAACACCAACCCAACACATATGAAGGAGCGCACAACACCTGTTGCTTGCCTAGGTTATAGGACAGCAATGATTAGAAGATGCTGCACTCAGGGTTTTAGAACCTGTGAAACTCTGGGAAAGGGGATTCCACAAATCGAGGAGCGGTTTTCCCAAATGGAAGCACACTGGGGAGAGATGGCCCACAGGAAAAAGGAACACCACTATGCATCTACACTGAGATCCCAAACATACCAGGACACAGGAGAATGCCAAGTTATGAGTCTTCTGCGTCACTCTTTCTGAGCCAATAATTTCTGCTTATTTCAATAAATACATGGTGGTGTCATTTAGGGATCCCAGAACTTCCTTATTTTCTTCCTCAGACACTGCTGCACTTGCAGTATCCTTTCCAGGCCCATTCTGAAAGCCTCTGGTATGGCTGGAATGCAATCAATTATCCCTCCACTGTATCCCAGGCCTCTATAATGGACCATTCAAACCCATCATATCAGACAAATTCCCTGAATCATTGCAAAAATTTTGGGTGAGGAAAAGAGCTTGGTGGCTTCAGCCCTGGGATGGAATATAAAACCCAGCCAGTTTGTTTCCTTGCCGTAGTTATATAAGTGAGGGAACATAAAAGGAATGTTGTTAACGCTCAGTAATATTAAGAGTATAATGTTGTAATGGAATGGTAATAACACCAATCTCAATTACATATTATCTTCATTGGAGACATTCACACTCTGACTAATCAGTGTTACCCCTCCTTTACTGGCAGTGGACATACACAGAAAAAAAAAAACCAGCAAGCAAGATTGCAAAGACTTGCCCAAGATCACACAATGACTGAGAAGTAGGCCTGAAGTAGAATCAGTGTCCTAATTTGCACAAAATATGTGCCCCTCTCTCTGTTCTAGGTGTGCTCAGAAAGCTCCTTCTCATTCCTTCCTGTCTCTGGCAAGAAAACCTCTTGCCACTGGGAGTGGGCTCCCAGTCCCTCCCCTTCACTGGGTATTCTGCGAGAAAGTGCTCGGCTCAGGGGCTCGGGGGCCATACATACCACACTGGACAGTGGGTCATGCAGCCAGAGGAGCTAAATAAGAACTCTAGACCATAAACAAAGCCTCCTTTTGTGGCACCAGCAAGTCATCCCTTTGATCTCAAGCATGGCTAAACCTCTTTCAAATGTCAACATCTTTTAAAAGGCACCCATCTGAACATCTTATAGTTTGCCACTAAGACAGGGACGGAAAAGTGAGGCAGGGCTGATTATTTGCATTCTGTTAAAGCTGCTTATTGTAACAGTCAGTAACTGATGCTTTGATTCTAGCTCAAATTAACTAGAATCAAGGGACTTACAAGGCTGTAGAAATTGCAGGAAGAACACAAACTAAAGTATGTTCTAGGTTTGAAATGCTAACTGAAACAAAAACTGCTAATCAATAGCTTCTTTCTGATTTTTTTCCTGGTGCCCCTACTTAGTTACAGAAAGGACCACAGTGTACCAGAAGAAATTGCAAATCTTGCTTCTACAAAGAATGAAGAGTGAAATTAAATACCCACCATTACCACAGTTTTCTTGATAATGTTGAGGCTAAAGAATGAAGACCTTGGGAAGAAGTGATCTGGCAAGTCTCTGACATAGTTGAGCCATTATTGACGTGGAAAATCCTGACTTTCAAAAGTTGGTTATTTTTGAACAGTATCTAAAAGGGTGATATTTATGGAGCTACTTTTTTTTTTTGCATTCTGAATAAGAAAGATGCAAGTCAGGAAACAATAGCATTTTAATTAAAGCTGGTGTGACTGACAAATACTGAGCAGCAATCTGCACACTGCAGTTGGGGAACACCCCCAGAGGGGGGAAAGAGCAGCACGCGAGTTACTGGGCTGGAAAGGAAGAGACTGAAGTGGAAGACTGAACAAATACAGTCTATCTAGTGAATGCTCGAGTAGTTTGCTTTCAAGCTTTCCTCTTTTAGTGCCATCTGCGTCACCTCCACTTTCCTTAAAGTCGTGTGGGAGAAAAAGGGCGGAATGAAATTTTGCGAAGAAAACAGCTCAAGAAATATGTCGACAGTAAATCCTGAAGGTAAAATTTTTAAGAGGACTCTTTCTCTGTCCCAGATCTGGTGTAACGAATGCCTAAATAGCTCTTGTATGGAGAGCAGAATCAAGTGCCCTTTTCAGTGACAGAGTATCAGTTAATGTAATATGCAAACTTGATTTGCAATTCTACAAGGATTCTCCTTGCCTTTCCTGCCTGGGATATAGATTTAAGAGAAACAATGAAGACGCTGTTTGGGAAATGCGGGAGAATCCAAGGAGTCATTGCTCACCTATTGTATCACATTCAATTCTAGACTAAAATGAAAGAAGACTGGGGATTATTTTAAATAGGTAGTTCAATGTAAATGGAAAGAGGGGGAAAAAAGAGATTCAATGGAAGTCTTAACCCCCCACTTTTAAGAGCCCTGCTGACATTAACTACTTATGTTATAACACAAGAATGGACATAAATTCTTAGAGGGCTCATCTTAGGTGAGAATTCAGAAGTGCTGAAAATTCAACAGTACTGAGAAACAAGAAATTCCCAAACTTGGTCTAAAAACCCTTGAAGAACTTCCATTCTTCTTCCCTGCTAAGAGAAATTTGGGGTAACAAATTATGGTGAACATCTAGCATCATCAGTTGCTACTGAAGTTCCCAAGGTGTTCACACTGACTCCCTTCCTTCTAAGGAGGCAGTGAGAGCCATTCAACCAACTACCTCACTGTGGGCTTATCTCAGTCAAAAGAAAGATCACACAGTCCAATACCGGGATACCAACCACCATTACATGATCCATTCTCACCCTCATCACAAATGATCTTTCTCATGTGGTCAAAACACAACAACAGGTAAATGCAGCAACTTACCCCACCAAGTTTTGAGTCCCATAAAGGCAGGGAACATGTTTTATTCATCCTTTTATTCATTCCTAGCACCCAACACAGTGTCACCACACACTTTACAATTGATAAAAACATGTGCTGAAATAAAATGTTACCATGTAAAATGTCCGAGTCATCTTCAACAAAATCGATGTCTCTCAAGTCCCATTCTGCGTAATTGTCAAACTCCTGTTTGGGGAAAAAAATTCCCACCCCAAACCCATCAGCTTTGAGTAATGCCTTCACAGTAGCCATGCTTTAGAAGCAAACAGAAAAGAAACAAACACTTGTTAAAAAGTACTGAATGGAGTAGTACATGGTCAGGAAACTACTATAACAAAGAAGAAGTCACAGGAAAAAGCTTGAGAGGCTTTCAGGCAGTAGAGACAGCAAAAATATGAGAAAGTTACGAGTCCAGGAATAAAGCCAAACCTAGTGTTCTAAAAATTAAAAGTAATCTGTTCATAAAATCTAAACTGAGAAATCTAACTCTGAATAGACCATCAAGTATTTAGATAAGAACATTGTCTACATTAATTCATTTACCTTTTTACTACCTTTTGAGGCTCTATTTATTTGATATTGCTTATATAGTTGAATGGGTAGATTTGTTCATATTCGACTCAATGAGTACAATTTGTAGGAGCAGTGTCTACAGGGTAGCTCCAAAGTATCAGCTGCCATGAACAAAATGATGACCTGTATGTGGCTGGCAAAATTATTGTATTTTGCTAAACTTTCAAATTATCTCCAGGGGCGTTGTCATTGTGGATCAGGTGATAAATCAAGAGACTTGTAATTACTTTCACATGGTTTTTAACTCCATGGATGAACAAGGAATATACAGTTTTTTGTTTTTGTTTTTTTTTAGGAATTTTTTTTTATTCTTATGTTAATCCCCATACATTACATCATTAGTTTTAGATGAAGTGTTCCATGATTCATTGTTTGTGCATAACACCCAGTGCTCCATGCAGAAGGGAGAAGTGCTCCCTCCTCAATACCCACCACCAGGCTAACCCATCCTCCCACCCCCCTCCCCTCTAGAACCCTCAGTTTGTTTTTCAGAGTCCATCGTCTCTCATGGTTCGTCTAACCCTCCGATTTCCCCCGCTTCAAGGGAATATACAGTTTTTATACACATTCATCATGCTTTATGTATTTGTGAATACACAACAGGGATCAGCAAACTACAGTCTATGGACAAATTTCATCCCACTGCTTATTTTGTAAATAAAGTTTTATTGGAGCACAGGCATGTTTGTTTGTTTTTACACATTATTTATGTTGCTTTTGCACAGTAATGGCAGTTTAGTTGTGACAGAGACTTTATGGTCTACAAAAAATATCTACTGTCTGGTCCTTAAAGGAAAGTTTGCCAACCCCTGATATTGTACAACTTTGAAATGCCCGAAGGGTGGAATGAGAACCAGACCACAGAAACCCCATATCTATTAAATGAGAGCCAACATCTTTGCAACTTAAGAAATAGGTTCTTGGTGTGTAAAACTACATTTCATATGTGAAAATGTCATGAATGAGAAAAGACACTCAAATGAAAAAATGTGGCTGCCTAAGGCCCTATAAATTACAGAGCCTCGAAAATCTGTTTTTAGTGGTATGGAACCTATAAGTAAGAGATATAAGCCTCATGTGAAACAAAAACAAGTTTCTCCTACCTCGATGAAATCTGCTCGAGCTGGCATGTATCCTGCCATGTCCCGAGAAAGCAAGGAGTCAAAAGTAGGTCGGGGAGGGTCATCTGTAGCTGGAAGAATTTAGGTTCTTAGTTAGTTAATAAAATATTGGCATGAAAAAGTAACAGAGAAATAGTCCTCATTTACACTCTGAAATATTTTTGTTTGGAAAAAAAAGTGTCTGAGAGAATAAATAAAATTCAAAACATTTTTATAAAGGGAAAAGTGAGAAAGATAAAATATTACGGAAACAGACTGAATTCTTAAAAAGGAAACTAAGACTTAGGAAATTCTCTAAATAAAATGGGGAGATTCCTTCGATTTGTGCTTTCTTAACGTAATAGAAAACCAAGGATCTTCTCTTTAATATTACAGAACATAAGTATTTGCCCTGTCTGCTTCAGTTTCCTTACCCCTTAGGACCAATATCAATTTACAAATCTCACCCAACTGAGCAAAAAAATCCCACAGGATTTGGAAGTTAGCTGGAATTGAGTCCCAGCTCTAATATCCTCTAGTCCCATGAAGCACAAATTATTTAACCTTTCTGAATTTGTTTCCTCACGTATAAAGCAAAAGCACTTGCTCTCCCTATCTCACTGGGTTGCTATGAGGAACAAATGATCTAATGGATTTGAAAATAAAATGCTACCACCCAAAGTGTTTTCCAAATAGGTATCATCAGGCTTTGAGTTAGTCGGCTATGAAACTGTTTCTACAGAGTCTGAGGAAAGGGGCGGGGAGGGGTGGTGGTGAAGAAGACATTCATATCTCATTATTTGTGCTTCTGGGAGTCATTCAGCAAAGATGTCCATTTATAACTCATCATGGTTTTGTTTTGTTAGAAGACCCATGAGTCCCTTAGCCACATGAGATAAAAAAAAAAAAAAAGCTCGCTATTACTACCATAACTAAGTGAACTAAAATAACAAGCTGCTTCTTGGACTCAACACTGGGATGATTAATTAAAATGAATCAAATACTGGACCCTCGTAAGTAACTAATAACATCTAGAATCGTAAACCCTCCAAAGCAGCGAAGGTTGGTTCAATTTGGACATCTCATCCGCAGAAGCATTAAAGCTGGCGGGTATGTTCACAAGCCTCAGAGTGGGTGGGACTACACACTGTTTCTGGGCACCGGGATTTCCGGTGCAGGACTTCAACCCCTCTTTTCCCCATTACAGCCCTGACTCTCAGCAACTGCCAGGCCAACTCCTCCCATCTTCCATAAGCTCTTCAGCTGCCCAAACCACTGTTCATCTGCTACAGCAACAGGGCCGGAGGGTGAGCTCAGCACCTCTTGGCGACACGGGAGGCACTTACACTGAAATGGTATGGCTGTGTCAGCAGTTTTCGCCTCCTCCGCGTGCTTCAGGTTCAGCAGGGTAGATGCAAACAGAGGGTTATTGATGAAATGCTTCATATAGTGCTTCTCACACTCTTCCTTGGTCTTGGTGCACATCTGATTGGCTACATCCTGCCTAGAGGATCGTGAGAAGAGAAAGCTCTGACCATTTATACAGAGTGGTCAAAGCATGGTTTGTTCTTTGCATAGTTTAAGTCCCAGCTCAATAAATGTCTGGAATTTGACACCTCCAAACCAATATCATGGAGATATCAGCTGAACGATGAGAGAAACATAAGCCTAATACTGGTGTAATCTGATGTGCCAAATCAGATTCTATTCCAAGAGATAGAAATAAGATCCAAAAAGCGCTTTCCTTTCCACCAAAAGCAAGGAAGATCACTAGAAAATCTGTAAATTTCTGTGTGAGCTAGGCCTCAGGAAAAGAATTGCTATAATAAACCACTTCAGAACACTCAAAATGTACATAAGTACAGTTTCATATTTGCATCATGTTTTATAGTTTACAGAACACTTCACATCAACAAACATTTCTTTACTAGAGTGCCCATGATAGGCTAAGCACTAAGCTAGAAACATTCACAACATAACTGAAGTTAGCCCTAGTATTATCCATGTAGTGTTGAGTACTTACTAGCTCAGTTTCACAGATGAAAAAGAGGCCCAAAGAGATTAAGAAACTTGCTTGAGAAAATAAAACATGTAAGTGCACAAAGCCAGAATCTGTACTTCAGACCTGACTCCTAAGCCCAGATGGTGGAGGAGTAGAGATGGAAGCTCTCCAAGTTCCCTCTCGACCTCTCTCCTCTACAGTACTTAACCTGTCCATCTGCTAAGGTATCATGTGTACTCCACTCATCCCTACATACATTTTGATTTCCCTACTGGATTATAAGCTTCTTGAGGGCAGGATACATGTCATAATTTTTATCCCTACCACCCTCACCACCAAGTTTAGTGTCTTACTCACAGTTGACAGAGAAACAATAGTCTTTTTTTGTGCAGTCTTTACCAAGAGGGAAGGGGAACAGGGAGGATTAGTCCATTTTGGAACATCAGAAAGGCAAGCAAAAAAATGAAAAACTAGGCCCAAGATGATTAGCAAGCTCCTCACAAGTGATCACTTTTTTCTGTTTTCTTTGGTATTCCCCATAGTACACAATATTTTATGATGCTTACGAAATGCTGAATAAATACAAGCAAAATGTGAACTGAACTCAAGTTTCCTTCTGCAGGGCCCCGGACGCAATGGAGGTAGCACAGTATTTTCTATGGCTATTGGGATAGATTACTTACACTAGTAAGTCAGGACAGGGAGGATCTAGTTAGGAGTCCTTCACTAATAAGCTATGTGATCATGAGAAATGATCTTAACTCCCTAAGCTTCAGATTCTTCATGAACGAAATATAATTTAATAATGTGCCTACTATCTATTTTGCAAAAGGAAATCATCAGTGTGAAAGTATTCCCAAAAGGTAAATGTGAAAGTGGTAACATCATTATTAGGTGGCACTGCCTCCTAGGGCAACAGCAATGAATGCTGTTCAGTTCTGCCAAGCTTTGACTTATCTGCAAGCTAAAAACAGGGAATGCGAGTAACAGGTCTCCCAAACTCGAGCCTTAAGTAAGCTATGGCCATCTACCTAAAGTCTGACTCACTTAAATGATAAGGGTATCTATAGTCAAGAAAAATTCCTAAAATCAGAAGGGAGCAATAACTAATAAGTCTAAACTTCCCCAGTATTCAGAAAGAAATAACCAACCTTCCCCGTCTTGATATATCCAAAGTGGCCTTTTAGAGCTGCCCAGTCATGGACAACTAAACATACCGTATCTCTGTGAGGCAATTCAGCCACTGAAAATAATATGCAGAATGGAAGAGGACATATCTCTAAGTCATGGGTCAAGAGAAAAGTAACACATAGCCCCAAACTCCTCTTTCTGAGGCTCCTCCCTTTACCCTTCAACAGCACCTTCCTCTCTGAGCCCACTAGGGCAGGACAACCCTTAACACCAAGCTCTTACCAATTTCCAAAGCCACAGTCCATCACAGCTTCTAAAAGGGCCATTTCTTCTTGAGCAGTCCAGCTGGGGTCAAGAACAGGAAAATCTGAGGTCTAAGGGGGAAAAAATTTTGCCTAAGAACAGATGTAGAAATGGAACCCAGCAACCTGAAATGTAATGCTAATTCATACTTAAATGACTGTCATTCTCATGGTTTTGAGAGGTACCTAAAGTATATTCTTATTAGTTGTCCATCTCTCCCACCTCTATTTCCACCATTAACTACAAGAGTCTCCAACAAACATTATCACTCAGAAGTGCCATGTAACTCATGTAGACATATATATTTTGGAAGATTTTATTTAATTAGTTAGAGAGAGAAAGAGTGAGCAAGCAGAGGGAATGGCAGAGGGAGAGGGAGAGAGAGAATCTCAAGCAGACTCCACGCCAAGTGTGGAGCCCAACACGGGGCTTGATCCCATGATCCTGAGATCATGACCCGAGCCGAAATGAAGAGTTGGACTCTTAATTCACTGAGCCACCCAGGCACTCCAAAGTATTTTTTAAATTTAGCACAAAGGTAGAGATAAATATTATAGTATGTTCCCACTTAGCTAAGAAAGAAGGCAATACAAATATGTGTATATTTATGTTTTTTTAAACAGAAGAATAAACGATGTATTTTAAAAAATGGTTACTTATGGGGAAGGGAGGGACAGAAGCTAAACCTCTCTGAATATTCCTTGTTTGGTACATCTAACTTTGAAATATAAATATTGTACATTAACTACTAAATTTAAAATCCTAAGAGTCAAAAGCAAAATGTAACAAATAAACCTATGAATTAATTTTAAGGCATAATCACAGAAAGAAAATATCCCACATGACTTTAAAACACAGTGATTTGATTATAAATCTCTAGTAGAATACATCTCAGAAGAAAAACGAATTGCTGGGGCACCTGGGTGGCTCAGTCATTAAGCATCTGCCTTTGGCTCAGGTCATGATCCCAGGGTCCTGGGATCGAGCCTCGCATGGGGCTCCCTGCTCAGCGGGAAGCCTGCTTCTCCCTCTCTCATTCCCCCTGTTTGTATTCCCTCTCTCGCTGTCTCTCTCTCTCTGTCAAATAAATAAAAATCTTTAAAAAAAAAAAAAGAAAAACAAACTGCCAAAAAAAAAAAAAACTTAACACTGTTTTCAGGAGTGCTGGTATAGTTATTCTGAGGTTATTATGTGCAGATGTGTTATGGGGTAAAGCAAGTAAGAAACTGCGGTGGTGTCATTGGGCAGTGGGATTTCTGGCTTGGGGTTTAGAAAGATATAGATATAAGATCTATGCTTATATAAAAACCTTATAGTCTTATATTTGAATTGAAAGTTTTAGTATGAACTTACAATGTACTTTGTCTCAAAAGAATAATTTCCTAACACTGTTCAGTGAAAAAGTCTAGAAATGACAACCAACCCAGTAGCAATGAACACTTCTAATGCTCAGTATGCAGTCACTAAATAACTATTTCCCACTAAGGAAACAGGGCTCTTTGAAGAAAGACCTGAATCTAGGTTCGAGTAAAAAAATGTACCAGATGAGACTAGAACATTTTGTCATAATGGAAACCAAAGAGGTTCTCAAAGCCAGTGAGGGTCATGTCAAAAGGATTCAGAGGCCAACTTGTAGAGGTTCCCACTAACCAAAGATGGAGCATTTTGAGCATTAACAAGGATAATAACTGCAAAGGACTGAAATACATAAAAATCTTCTAAATACTTAGAGGATGCCAGGGAACCAACTCATATTTTCAAGATTAGTAAATAAAGGGAAATAATCAGGTATTTTATCCTGCCTTTCCTGTATAAACTTTACCTCAGGGTGACCACAGAGATAAGACATTTCTTTTTATAGAATTATATTTATTTTTTTAAAGATTTTATTTATTTATTTGACAGAGATATAGTGAAAAAGGAAACACAAGCAGGAGGAGTGGGAGGGGGAGAAGCAGGCTTCCCGCAGAGCAGGGAGCCCGATGCAGGGCCCGATCCCAGGACCCTGTGATCATGACCCGAATTGAAGGCAGAAACTTAACGACTGAGCCACCCAGGTGCTCTAGAATTATTTTAACTCATAAATCAAAATGAGTTCTGGGGGGCACTTGGGTGACTCAGTCGCTTAAGCGTCTGACTCTGGATTTGACTCATGATCTCAGAGTTGTGGGATCGAGCCCCATGTCGGGCTCTGCGCTGAGCATGGAGCCTGCTTAAGATTCTCTCTCTCCCTCTCCATCTCCCTCTGCCCCTCTCCCCTCCCTGCTCCCTTATCATGCATGTACTTTCTCTTAAAAAAAAAGAGTGCTAGTGCTAAGGTTAAAAGATAACTATTTTGCAATCCCTGATGAACAGATCTACACAATGATCATAAATGAATCTGGTACAGCTGCTATATGTCACTACCAATTTATAGAAAACACAGAAGACCGAAGAACATGTTAACAGCAAAATTCACACTCTACTAATATATGTAAGACAGAGAACTCATGTTTTTTAAAAATCAAATAAACTATAAGAAACAAGAGAAAGAGTGAGGGAAGGGGGACAGGGAGAGTGGAACACCCACAGAACAGAATACATGTAAGAAGCAACCAACTGGAACGTATGGACCTTATTTGTATCCCAATTAAAACAAACTGTAAAAGTAAAAAAAAAATTATGATACCACTACACTCATGAAACCCACTAGCACAGCTAAAATGAAGAAACCAACAATATCAAAAGTTTGCAAGCACGTGGAACAATTGGAACTCTCATTCATTGCTGGCATAGGTGTAAAATACTACAGCCACTTAGGACACTTGACAGTTTCTTAAAAGTTAAATATGAATAATCACTTATTCTATGGCCTCGCAATTCCACTCCTAAGTATTTATCCAAGGACAAAAAACGTGTGTCCACAGAAAGCCTTATACAGGAAAAGTTCATAACAGCTTGATTCATAATAGCATAAAACTAGGCAAAGCCCAGGTGTCCATCAACAGGAGAATGAATAATGTCATATTCATACCACAGAATATTACTCAATAACAAAAAGGAATGAACTACTATACATAACATGAATACATCTCAAAAACATGCTGAAAGAAACCAGAAACAAGAGTACATGCAGTATGAATCCATTTATATGCAGTTCTAGAATATGCAAAACTGATCTATGGTGATAAAAATCAGAACAGGAATTATTTTCAGGGGTAGAGAAGGGAGCAGAGATATTTTTAAAAAGCTTTTATGACATGACTGGGGAATAAAGAAGAGTGACTTGAATTAAATTTTAGAGAGATCTAGTAAAACATTTATAGATGAAATAAGACGTCTGGGGGATTTGCTTCAAAATAATCTGGAGAAGTGGGGGTTTAGATGAAACAAGATAAGCTAGGAGTTGATAATTTTAAGAGCTAGTAACAAGTATATGGGACTTCATTACACTATACGTGATAGTTGGGTTACAATGGTAGCCCACATTAACTTCTAGAATTCACATCCTGTGCAGTCCTGTCCCGTTTAATATGGGCTGGACCTGTGACTTGCTTAAGGCCTGGCAGCTTCCGTTTTTGTGGTTTTGGGAGCCCTGAACCACCACCATGTAAGAAACCTAGCCTCCTTGCTGGAAAGACCATGTGGAGAGGCCGTGCCGGGGGGGCGGCTAAGGCTCCCTGGAGAAGAACCAGACAGTTAAAATGTTCCTGCTGGGGGCACCTGGATGGCTCAGTGAGTTAAGTGGCCAACTCTTGGTTTCGGCTCAGGTCATGATCTCAGGGTTGTGAGATCAAGCCCCGCATTGGGCTCTGCGCTCAGCGCGGAGTCTGCTTCAGATACTCTTTCCCTCTGCCTCCAGCTTGTAGGCTTTCTCTCTCAAATAAATAAAACCATTAAAAAAAAAATGTTCCAGGTGTCTCCCAACCAATTCAAGCCATTCTGAGGTGCCAGAGGTGTGAAAAAAGCCCTGTGGACTTCTAACCTCCGCACATCATGTGGGCATGAAAGCCACCCTCACCGTGCCCAATCTGAATTCCTGACCTGTAGAACTATGGGAGACAATAAAATAGTTGGTATTTTAAGCCACAATGTTTTGAAGTAGCTATCAGGCAGCAACAAATAACGAAAACACCATTCTATTTTAGGGTAAAAATAAAATTTTGTTTTTTCGAAATTTTCTATAAGTTATTTTAAAAAGGTGACAGGAGAGGTCTCCAGATTACACAGGCATTTAGATTGTTATACCGGGGCACCTGGGTGGCTCAGTCATTAAGTGTCTGCTTTCGGCTCAGGTCATGATCCCAGGGTCCTGGGATCAAGCCCCGCATCGGG